CATCAACCGCCTGAACCATTACACCCTACAGTTGCTTCATGGCCGTTCGACGCATGGGGATTGGACGTTGTATGACCAATTACGCCAAAGTCATCTGCAGGGGAAGCTTACATCCTAGCTGCAACAGATTACTTCTCCAAGTAGGGCTGAAGCCATCCCTTTAAGGGAAGTAAAAAAGGAAACTGTTGTTCGTTTCATCAAGGAGCATATCATCCACCGATATGGGGTGCCTCGCTACATTATCACTGACAACGGAAAGCAGTTCTCCAACCGACTCGTGGACGAGCTTTGCGACAAATACAAGTTCAAGCAGCACAAGTCTTCCATGTATCACGCTCCTGGCCCGCAAGAGCATAAACTGTGTACGGCAAAATCATCAAAAAAAAAAAAAAAAAACCATCACTCATTTGAACTACGTCATGACTTGATCCCTCCTCAACCAAGGGTACGTAGGCAACTTGAAACTTCAAAACTTCAAGTACAGTCACATCATCAAAATAAAAAAAAAAGGAAAAAAACACATCTTGGTGATGTATATGTTTTATCTGTATTTAGCACAATACACTGAATAAAATAAACCATGTACATTGATCTCCGAAAAATTACAAGTGTGTACAAAAAAAAAAAAAAAAAAAAAAAAAGATGAAGCTTTCACAAAGGATGTGTACGTGAAGCCCCACTACATGGCAACACTCTCGGAGCAGGAGGCATCGGAGCAGGAGGCATCGGAGCAGAAGGCATCGGAGCAAGAGGCATTGGAGATAGAGCATTCGAGGCCTCAATACTTGGCGGAACGCTGGATGACCCAGGAAAAAGGTGCCTCTGGAAGAAAGACGCAAGCCTTTGACGGTCACTTTGCATTCGACCTTGAGATTCTTGCATCTCATCAAGCTTCCTCTTCATGCCCGACGAATAGTTATTTGCAAGCACATGCAAACTTCTATTCTCGTACTTAAGCTGTTTAATCTCCTGCTTAAGATCTTCCACCTCTGCCATCAATGATTCCACTTGACGAGACCGAGCAAGCAGGCGTTGGCCCATGTTGGACACAGAGCTCGCACACTGAACACTGAGAGCGAGGGACTCTTGAACGGCCAACTCATCGGACCGTCCTGAAAGCAGCCTACTATCTGTTGGTATGAGGAGGTTCCTAGCAACTATTGTAGCTGTTGTTGCATTCTGCATCACTGAGTCTTCACCTGTAAGAGGACCGTTAGAAGATAAGAAAGACGGGCACCATACATTACCTTGACGCAGCGCAACCGGATCACTGCTGAGACTCAATTCTAAGCTAAGGTTCGATGGGTTAGTCATTTTTCAAAAGGTGTTAAAAGAGATGGGTGGATGGAGTTAAAACTCAAAAGGCCGGAGATGATTTTCAGGAATGAGCAACCTTCAAAGTGTGCATGTTGGAGGTGATCAATACCTCTATAAAAAGGAAGAGGCGTTGGTTCAGAAATCGAAGGGCCGCTTATTCAAAAGTGAAGAGACATCGCTCTGCAAATCTCAAAAGCTGGATTTTCCGGCATAAGTTGGCGACGCTTTCTCTGCTTTTCAGAAAACGCGTACAGCTTTGTCAAAAGAGGCGCTCGTTCAGAAATCGAAGAGGCGTCGTTCAGAAATCAAAGAGGCGTATTCAAAGATCGAAGAGTCGTCACTATTTCAAAAAGCCGGATTTGCGGGATCAAAACGTTTGTCGACAAGGGTAAAAGAACAGTACCACCACTTGCTATTGGGAAATCCCTATATATGTCGACCTTCATCTTTTATGGCAAGGCAGACCTGCAAACAAAAAAAAAAAAAAAAAATGCCTAACTCTTCCTCACCTCTGAGAGTGCACTCCCAGCCCTGCTCTCAAGTACTCATCTTCAACTATTGATGTACCCCCAAAGAAGATACCAGATGCCTGGAATACAGATGAGGCAGGAGGAAACGGTAAATCGAAGCATGTGGAGACAAGCACAACAAATATATGTGTTGATTCATTCGCTGCTTCTTCAAAAGCAAAAGTATCTCATATCATCAAGGGCGAAAGCAAAGGTATCTCATATCATGCTTTTTTCCTGTCTTTTCCTTTGCCCTTGTTCTCACCTGCCAAGACAAGGATAGAGAGAGCAATATGTCGGAACCTCCACTCAAACTTGCGTTGCCACCAAGAAGTGATGGTCCATTCAAATGCAAGGTTTGAATTCTACTCCTGTATCAGAAAACAAATACTACAAGAGAAGATGCCAAACCTGCATAAGGAAATACCACTTCTGCAAATGGGAGCAAGTAAGGCAAGTGAAAATGATACATTGAAGCATGTGAAGACAAGCTACAACTGCATATGCTGGGCTATCCTCTAACCCTCTTCAATACGAATTGGAGAGATTGAACAAAGAAACAGAAAAAATGAGTAAGCTCAGACCTTCGGGGGAGACTAAAAGAATCCTGCTACCCAGTTCAAGAGTAGCACAAAGGAAAATCAACGAGTGGAGGAGACCAAAAGAATCCTACACCCAATTCAAGATCAAGCCTCGATGGCCCTTGAAGAAATCACAAGCCCGATTCGAAATCAAGTGTTCTCCACCCTTGAATCAAAATCAACTCCAGATAAAAGGAGTAAGCTCAGACCTTCGGGGGAGACCAAAAGAATCCTGCTACCCAGTTCAAGAGTAGCACAAAGGAAAATCAACGAGTGGAAGAGACCAAAAGAATCCTACACCCAATTCAAGATCAAGCCTCGATGGCCCTTGAAGAAATCACAAGCCCGATTCGAAATCAAGTGTTCTCCACCCTTGAATCAAAATCAACTCCAGATAAAAGGAGTAAGTTCAGACCTTCGGGGGAGACCAAAAGAATCCTCCAGCCCAATTCAAGATCAAGCCTCGATGGCCCTTGAAGAAATCACAAGCCCGATTCGAAATCAAGTGTTCTCTACCCTTGAATCAAATTCAACTCCAGATAAAAGGAGTAAGTTCAGGCCTTCGGGGGAGACCAAAAGAATCTTCCAGCCCAGTTCAAGACTAAACCTGTGGAAAATCAACGATTGGAGGAAACCAGAAAATCTTCCAGTCGAACTCAAGATCAAGCCTCAATGGCCCTTGAAGAAATTTCCAGCCCAATTCAAGATCAAGCCTCGACGGCCCTTGGGTTGACATCTACATTAAGGGACTTCAAAACGCATCTTTTACACGTGTCAAGCACATGTCTACGACGCGCCTTGAAGTGGGGGCATTTGTAGACATCGAAATTTCAGTAAAACAAATGTTCACCAATGCATTAAAGTTTTGACGTGTCAAGGCATACATGGCATACGCCACGTGTTGTACAAATTATACACGTGGTGTGTGACTCAACAAAATAGGGAGAAATACCCTTGAAGGATTAAACAAGTTTTTCTTCTTATTTTGGGCAATGACAAGGCAAGTACACTTCAAGTTTAAAATGGTGTTAAGTGGGAAATTAGGCCATAAGTTACACCACTTCAATTTCAATATTGCATTAAGTGGGAAAATTAGGCAATGGTGCTTGGAAAGGAAAAAAATATTTTGTGGTGGTGATTCATTCTCAAAGCCTATAAATAGGCTTCTCCATCAAGGTATCAAGCATCAAGGAATTCACAAATACATTTCTCTACTCCCAAAATGGAAGAGAATACTCCACACACATCCAAAATTCTTGAAGCTTTGAAACTCTAAAGCTCTCAAGCATCCAACCCCCAAATTCCCAAGAATCCCGAAGAATGGAGAAAGCACTCTTCATTCTTCGTCAAATCCTCCTTCAAGATCAAGCCCCAACGGCCCTTGAAGAACTTCCACCAACTCAAGATCAAGCCCCGACGGCCCTTGAAGAAAGTGTTCATCCGTTCATCCCAAGATCAAGCCCCAACGGCCCTTGAAGAACTTCCACCAACTCAAGATCAAGCCCCGACGGCCCTTGAAGAAAGTGTTCATCCGTTCATCCTAAGCTCAAGCCCCAACGGCCCTTTGGATCAACAACCTCAACAAATTCACACATCCAACCATTCTTCAAGATTAAGCCCAAAAGCCCTTGAAGATCCACTTATCCATCAACCTTCAAGATCAAGCCCAAAAGCCCTTGAAGAAATCCACACAACCATTATTCAAGATCAAGCCCCGACGGCCCTTGAAGAAAGTGTTCATCCGTTCATCAACTGTTCATCCTTAGATCAAGCCCCGACGGCCCTTTGGATCAACAACTCATCCACAAACCTACACCCTACGAAGATAGAATCAGAGGACCAAATTCGAGAGAGATCGTAACCCCAAAATCATCAAACCAAAAAATATTATTTTGTACACGTTATTCTTGTTTCTTGTTTCAAGGAACTTTCGTGTTCACAGACTCATTGAGTACAACATGGGTGGATATATAGTATACAAGTTTCTCAGTTGACAAGCAGTAATAACAACAGGATGTGATGTGAAGTGGTGAAAAGTGAGAAGAAAAGAATCATAGATGCAATGAACTATCTTGTAATGCTTTCCATCAGTCCCCAGATTTGAAAAAAAACAGTCCAAAAGTCGACAAGAGATGAACAAAAAGAAAAACCAAACATTGGAAGAATAGATAACTGGAGGAGAGTATGAGGAATGGAAAAGGATGAGGAGCTGCTTAAGCACTGAAGAGGAAAACTGATTTACTGGAAAATAATACAAGTTTCCCTGATATTCTATCCAATCACATTGAGTAATTGCGCCAGTTTTGTTTGACATGTAAAAATGTGAATCATGATGGTGAATACTAGCGAAGCACAGCAACAGTTGAACCAAATAACAACCATACTGTGTATTTAGTGAGAAAGTAATTATGCCATTAAATAGGACAGGGTGAAATCAACAACTTGGAACAAACCCTTTTACAAAGTTGACAAATTATTTACATTGTAAACCCATAATCATAAAAAATAAAAATAAAAAGAACTAACGACGAGTATACCATCTATCTAATACAAATTGTAAGTACACAGATATAGTGTCAAAGAGATTAAAGAATGAACCTGTAAAGATCATGCATCATTTCAATCACTTCATTGATACCCACGATACCTTTTCGTTAATTTGTTTACCATAAACTACAAATCCATTTCGACAATTCAGCATTATCTAACTGAAATGGATATTTAGATTTCGAAAATAAGGGACATTTAGACAGAATAACAACTCCCTATGTAAAACAACCATACATAGAATAAGAACTGGAACTCGGAATCATACCCTCAGTCTGTCAGACAAGATGGAAGGAGTAATCAGCTTGTACTTCGGAACTTCGGAAAGCAGCTTGTCGTAGGTGCCCTGATCAAACAAAACCATGTTGTTCACCTTCTCCTTTTGCTTTCCCTTGCTCCACTTCTGTTAATCCATCAAACAAGGTAAAAAAAATGAAAATATTTTCTCACATTTCACACACAAAACTCCATGAAAGTACTGAAATCTTTCAATAATTATCCCAAACAATAAAAAAACACCCAAATAGTAGAAACGAATTCTGGATAAGGAAAAACAAACGGACTTTCTTCTTCTGCTTGCCTCCTCCGGACTTGGCAGGCTTTGAGGACGGTGGGGGAGCCTTATCCTTCTTGGGAGCCTGTAAAAACAACAAGTACAAGAAATTAAGTGACGAATCTACATAACTCAAAGAACAAAAATGTTGCATTCAGATTTTTTGCAAGCATTAGAAGGGAAATGAAGAGACTTTGGGGGTCGGAGGGGAGGGAAAATTACCATGGCGATGGAGAGTCGCGGATTCGCAGGGGTTGGCTGTCTATGGAGTCAATGTGGGGTACGATGCAGCCCTCAGAGGCTCAGAGGAAGAAGTTAGAGTTAGGGTTTAGAAAAGAAGCGCAAAGAAAGAGTTTGGGCTTGGTAGGGTTGTTACGGGAAACACAAACGGGGTTGGGTAAGCTTTAACCTCACAACAACGAGTTAGTAAAATTTGTTACAAAAATGTCAAAATTAGAGGAATAATTTTTTTAATGGTAGGTGCAAGGTAGATGTAAAATGCCACACTAAAACTATAGTATAGACAGATAACAAATAAAACTAGAGAAATAGATGATGTTACTGATATTTTTCTCACGTTCACTTCTTCTTCTCTTTTCTTATAACTTAAAAACATGCGGAGTGCTCTATTTATAGAGCAACTCCAAACTGATACAGTTAATGCATTTTGAAATTTTACGACACTTCGTCTGACTATACAATCTCTATGTATTCAACTTTCACTTTGCATGGGCATTGAAAACTTATGCCCATGCTGAAGACTTTTGCTAACATACTGCGTGGGCATTCATTGCCATCAGACTTTTCAACAAAATTTAGTTTAAATTCATTTTTTACGATAATTAAATTTTAAAACTTCTTAATTACAAGTGAAAATAAATATTACTAAGCCGTAATATTAAGTAGCCTATGTGTTTTTGAGCATTAAGAACGTTTTTCTTAAATCAATATTTTTATTTTCTTAATTTTCAGAAAATTGCATAAGGGTCATTTGGACATCGATCCTTTTGATCATAGGAATGTATCTCACAACCAGAGGGTGCAAGTTGGAATGATGTTTTCTATTTCCAAAGTAAAATTTTCAAATTTGAACTTGAAAAATCTACATTCAAATATTTTTCAAAAAATTGTAATGCATGTAGGGATTACTATAACTCCGTACTTCCGATCTGAAATTTTTTGAAGTGTTTCCAATTTATTCCGACAAAATCTGTATACACTAAAACTCAGTTGAGTGGATACTGTAGATGACCGGGTCAGACGGTTTTGCCCCTCTGTCTTTCCTTTGTTTCCCTTCCTATTTCCTCTTTTGTGCAGTCGAATGACTGTTTTGCCCCTTCCATCCGCGTGTCACCCATCGAGTTCCGTCTTCTCATTTTCCTCCCTCTCCTTTTCATTTTTTAATCGTTCTGTTTCTCTGCTTCTCCCGCTCTGTACTGTCTTTTTCTTGCCCTTTTGAATCGTTGCAGTGTTTCGCTTTTGGGCGGAGTGTCGTGTTTGTGCCCGATCTTGCGAAGTTTGTGTCACAAGTTGGTGGGGTTGTTTTGTTGGGGAAAAGTTGTTCGCCCATTGGGAGTTTGTTTTGGTTGTTTGGTTGGGTTGGGTTGTCTCTCTATAGGTTTTTTCTCTCCATTTAATACTGATCAAATTTTTGTTTCATTTTTCATGTAATCAAGTGAGGATTTGGCTTTAGTGACTTTTGCAAGATGTAGCTTTCATACTAAATCAACTCCCTAGGTTACTCTGCATATCATCGTCCAAGGTATCTACGCATTAATTTCTGCTAATTTTTATACAAGTTTTGCAGCCTTTTCACATCATGTACTATTCCTTTGTTCAAGATTTGTAACTTTGTCGTGGTACATAGCATGAACAAACAAATATCAACTCTTCAGTTTATAACATTATTTGCATGTAGGTTTGACCCCTTTTTTTTTTTTTTTTTTTTTTTTTTGTTATAGACAATTTAGAAGTACAAACATAAGATTTAATGTGTAAGAGTGAGGAATTGGGTGCATTTTTCTAAGAAACGACCAAATGGATATTTCCAACTCTCATAAAAACTCTATCCTATATGATTAGAACTAATTTATACATGCCAAATATAATTTATAAATTTTCTTGACATATTTACATAATTGGTTTGAGCATGATTGAATTGATTGGTTTGAATATGAATAGTTTCATAAACGCGATTCATATAGGATTTAAAATTTAGGACTTTTTTTCTTAAATAAGGCAATGCTCTTCAACTTATTTTCGTTGTTTTTATCTGTACTTCAAACCACACCTATATTTTGTCCTCTCATTTGCACTAAGACGGTCATTTACTTACATTGACAACTTCCAATTTCCAATTTGTAATATAACAGGCGAAAGAAAACTTACATGTGACAAGAAATGCAGAACACCACCCTTGGACTATTTTGTTCCTCATTGTAAATAAGGTTGAAAATGAATGAATTTTTACATCTATGTAAATAGTACCCCTTCCTTGGACACCTATTTTGTTTTAAAAAAACTTTGTTCATTTGTAATATCTGTGTAATTTGTTGGTCAAAGTTTACATGACTAAGTTGGATCTGCATTGAAGAAATCAAGTTTGGTGTGTGTGCAAAACAATGAAAACCTGATTGTTAAGATCATGGAAGCAAAATTAAAACGTAATTATGTGTTATTGTTTTATTCACAAATTATGCGGTGCTTTTTTGGGTGTCCATTTTGGAACAACAATCTTGCTGCTTTAGTCAATGTTGACTTGTTTATAATACTTGTTGTATTTTTGGTCTTAACGTATATTTGTTTATGCTGTTGTTGTCATGTCGAGTGTATTTTTTTTGCAAAATTTAGTTCGTTAGTTGTTTTTAACTCGCTTATTTCTTTTCGGGCTGCTTCATGTTTTTGCATTAGCCAATTTGCACTGTGGTTGTTAGTTTTGTAACAGTCTTGTTTGAAATTATTTATTGATTTTCTCAATTAAGAATTAGACAAATCAGTCCTTATTTTAATGTTTATTTTTTAATTTGTATTGTGCAATTCTTAGGTTTATAAAATTTGTATTCGCTTTGGATAGGTTAAATGGAAAGCGTAGAGTTCACCCCTGTTGCTCACGTGCATCCATACCCAAAAGTGGAGAAAATAAAGATCCTTGTGTGCAGGATATGGAAATCAAGCATTCCTAGAACTGTTCAAAAATATCACATTGCACTGTATCTTGCTTGACGAAGTCGTCATTGTCTTATTATTTTGATTAGAGATTATAACGATAATAAGTAGGTTGTGGTTTTTTCCCATTTATTACTTTCTTGATTTGCGTTTAAATTGTTATAATTTTTGTGTTCAGTTTTTCTTACAAGCTATTTTCGGTTAGTATATTTCTCTATGGTGACAATTGAATCTGTCTGTATCAAAATATGATATTTCTTATGATTTGTTTGTTCGTTACCTTTTTAACTCTTTTTTTTTTTTTTTCTTTCCTCCTTTTTTTTTTTTTTTTTTTTGTTGGTTTAATAGACTGCGAAGAACCATGCAGTTGAAGCCTCTACATTGGACATTGATTATAAAGTCGTGGCTTCAAAAATTGAGGTCAGTAGTTGCTACGAGATTATGAATTTTTATACTGTTAGAATCAGAAGGCAATACAAGGTGATCCCACACGATACTCAGGTTATATTCACTGCCAAGACAACATTTAAAAGACTGTCTACGTGTATCCACCCATTCCGCTGCACCGGTTCTTTCTCCAGGATTATACCATGTTGTATCCCCGTCTGAACAAAGTTCATATTCTTACAAGTAATATTAATGTGTGTGCGTGTGCGCGCGCTTGTGTGTTTATGTGTACATGTATGCATCGATTAAAAATATTTGTATTTTTTTTTTCTAAAAGGAATTTTGACGAACTCTCTATGTTAACTTTTTAAATTGTAAGATGTTATTGGCCATATAACTGCAGGTCAGCACTTGAAACCAAGACAAATTAATTAGAGAATAGCACAAAAGTGTGATATAAACATTGAAAATATGAGGTTCTTCTTTTGCTTTCGTCATACCAGTTCTGAAGTGTTCAGGTATTTCTTCTGTAGGGGTTACAAAATATTTTAACATTTTTTCTCATTTTTTTTTTTTTTTTTTTTTTACGCAAGAGAGCAAAGGTATGTGTTAAAAGTCAAGCTTTACCTAGGTAGCTCATTTATCTAAAACCCTTTTTCTTCTGTCTTGATTTTGTTGTGTTTTGATATTATTTGATATAAACTGTTTCGGTGTTTTGTCATTCTGTAATTTTATCGCATTGAGTTCCTGTGGTTTATCATGCAATGTTTGTTTTATTTCTTATTTATTAATTTCAAAGCTTTTGGGTACGTTGATTACAATTTCGGTTTCATTTTTAAACATGCGTACTAAAATTATTGAACCAAACTTTTGAGTCTCTTGATTACAATTCGTGTATTATTTTTAAACATAGGTTATCCAATCTAGAAATACTTGCTGATTTCTAATATTTAATTATCCCTGCTTTATAATTTCTTATTATTTTTTGGAATCCACAGATAAAATTGTCTTGAAGAGTAATGATTCCTCAATTTTTTTTTTATTGATCCAGACATACCAGAGGTTAATTCATCCAAATCAATTTGAGTGCATTTTTTAAATTATGCTTTCTATTTGAACACAAACAAAATGCTAATGTTCCAAAATTGCTCAGCCTGTATTCTATTTTCAAACTTTCGAACTGTAAAGACCCTGTAAAAATACTGCCCCATCTTCAAGGCAAGTGAATGAGGCTGAAATTCTACGCACTGGAAGGAGAGAAATAATTGATGAGCTAGCTTTTTTAGGTCCTGATCTGCATAATGTATAAAAATGGATTATGCGTTTTCATCTTTTGTTAAAAGCATGTAACTGTATTTTTACGTATTTAACAAAGATTTAGTCCGTCATCACTCTTCCTCACACAAATGTGTGATAAAACATTTTACAGGATGATACGTTTCTGTGCAGAGCCTTTATGAAACGTTTTGACACATGTTATGATTGGTGGTACATAACAATCGGACAGCTCACATGCCAAAAACACCCAAACCAGATCCAACATCTTGGTAACGTTTAATATATGAAAATGTATTTTTGTTTCTTTAAGTCTTTCCTCGGATTTGGTTCTGTATGGCGTTGATATACTGATGAAAAATTATCTCAAGTCTGTAATCTGTCGTACTCCAAGTTCTTCATTCTGTGTGTTAACAATGAGTTATAACTCATAAAAAACACATTAGGTATAAAGTTAATTTGGTTCTTGAAGACAACACTAACAAAATCAATGCCTTAATAATTGGCAAATCTGGTGAAAAGCTTTTTGGCATGGCGTGCAAAGATTTGGTCTTGAATAAGAGGTTGGTCGACCAACAATAGTTGTGAAATGAGTTTTTGAGATTGATTGGCCAAAAGAAAATCTTTCACTTGCTATTTGGAAATAGGAGGGATAATTTCAACTCAAATGACGTGCTGATTTACAATGTACCCGAGGATACAAGTATGGAACCGATGCCTCCGCAAATGTTACCAAGAGAAATCATAGTATCCTCTTCCACCTCAACGTCTGAAACAAATGGTCAATTCTATAAACAAAAAGGGAATCTATGAGGAGAGCTCTTTTTTTGGTAGTGAACAAAGGTTTGGGGTTCTAATTCCATGCTATTCATCTCAACTTCCTTAAAATTTACCTATGAAACGTCTTTGTTTTCTGTTTTTTTTTTTTTTTTAGAATACTACGTACCATAAGTAGGAACCATGTTTTTTTTTTCTGCATACAAATATGTTGATGCTTCATAATCATTCAAAACAGTGAAGTGGAAGAAATTTCAGGAAGTTGATCCAAAAGAATTGGATGAGGTCCCAATGAAGTCATTGAAAAAAATCGTCTTCGGCTCCTACAAAAATAGATACCAGCACTCCAAAAAAGGACTAGGTAAAATATGGTTTCATCTTGCTCTGTCTTTTGCTCCGTTTCCATTCAAATGTGATTTTAATTGCTATATAAATGTGTTGCATTCTTTTTCTGTTTGTCTAGCTTGCTTTCTGGGTGACAACAATGGTTCACCAGGGCTGTGGCTGCTTTGCTCAAGAGCGTTTCCCGTCTTTTGTTAATGTACATTTAACGATCTTTAACATGTTTAATAACTTGTAAATATCATTTTATGCTCTGAACTGAACAATATTTTTTGCATCTCCATAAACTAGCATTTCCTAATTTTTTTTTTTGTATGCAAATGTTGGTTCAGCTTGCAGAACGCATATGGCTGTTAAGACAGAATGAACTACTGTACTGTTTTTTGTATCTTTGTACCAGGATTTCGTAAATTTTTGTAACCAAATGTGGCCCTTCTGGTCCAAAGATACATAGAACTGCTACAAATGCAATGGATAACTGTAACATCTATCTTTATGTTCTCCAGATTCAACTTTTTGTGTGTAAAGCTTTTCCAGTGTCTCTATTATTATTGTTGTTCCTGCTTTGCAACAGAACTTTTCACATCTTTAACGTAGTGTTTCATCTTAATTTTAAACCTGCACAATGCGCGTGTACTAGAAGCTAGTAGGTTCTTAAATACTCAATTTAGGCATTTTGTAACCAACTTTTATATTTTATTGTTAGTTTTGTGTACCTTTTGTTCATTATTTTATATTAAACATATACTTCCACATTAAAAAGGATACAAGTATACCAAATATTAAGAAAGAATAATAAATTGTATGTACTATAAAATTGAGAATATTTATAATCTGAAGTTTCCAAGATTACTTGGTTCCGAAAATATCAAATTTGAAATTTGAGATTCGATCCGACTCCGAAATTTTTTAGAACAGAAATTGGAAAGGTTGTTTCTGAACCGATCCGTCTTAAAATCACCCTACACACCACACAATGATAGACATTTTTAGTAAAATTAGGATTTAAAGAAATTTTAAAAGACTTTAAAATATGGAGTTGTTAATTAGGATTTTACTAGACTTTTTTTTTTTTTTGTTCATTGCCAACGGGGCATAAACCTGAGATAAATATAAAGATTATATAAGAATATCACAAGGTCACGAAACCTCAGATATATCTGCAACTAACAACTGATGATAAGGAGAAGGATCTTGCTCAAAAAAGACTTTTTTAGATTGCATGTAAATTTAAGTGTATCAATTGAGATTTTAATAAACATTTTTAGAGTGCTTATAAATCTAGGTGTGTTAAAAAAATAAAAAATATAGTAGGATTTCATTAAGTTGTGGATTTTGTTGGATTTATGAATATATATATATCCCCAAGACCATAAAGAATCTCACCTTAAGTTTATGTTTCTCCTGGCCCCAATTCTCATCCGTTCTTTCTCTATCCATATTTCACTTTGTTTAAGTAATCCAACCTTTACAACGGTACAAAGCATGGACGTTAGGTCATCTCTAACAGGAAGGGTAAAATATAGTCCCATTTAGAATTATAGTTATGCAAATTTTGTTTTTTTAAATGAACTATATCATGCCATACTCATATACCATCATCAACCGAAGGGGCTAAACATAGCCTCCTCAATAATTTATTAGTTTTAAAGTTTATAATTTAAATTTATTGGTTAATTTAATTAAACTACCGTTGAATGTTTTTAAATCTAGTTGTTAAATTTGAATCAATCATTGCCATTGAGGAGTTGAGCGTCAAAAAAGGGCTAAGAGGGCAGCTACATTTGGCTAGCCTGATGCCCACTGGAGGCAAATGCCCCCACTCAAGTAATTTGTTGGTTAAGTTGCATACTGCAATTATAGATATACACGTGTTAACCTTGAAGAAAATATGTGTCTAATATCAAGCATACCTTTGTACTTATTCTATTCTATATCAAATATAATATGAGCAAAATTGGTTTTGTTATGTCGTTCAAACTGAAAAACCCCTCCTCCGCCTCAAATGTGTTAATATTTTTCTCATCAATTTGTCACTTTCCACTGCTACAAAATTTTTTGTGACATTGCAATTGTGAACATTGTCATTTGAAATCATCCCCATTATCATTTGGTTATAAACCACACTGTAATAAGGTCTTCTTAGTGTTTTTCAGGTTGCTCCCACTAGAAGAAATTTCTAGCTCCGTCCTGCTGATGCCCCTTTAGCCAACTAATGGTTTGATGAGCTCCATTGAATTATAGCTCAGCCATAAGTTGGAGATGATTTTTTGAACAGATTAGGCTTTTTTTTTGGCTTTTGGATCTTTAGCCATCTTCATTGAAGATGGCCTTTAGCGCATTCACAAATAACTGCTAATTTTCCATGTAATAACCCAAACATTAATTGGAATGTTGAGAAACTCACTTTGAAATTTCTTGATTCTGAAAATTCCAAGACTAAAGAGTGTAAATAGTCTTGTGATAACTCATTTCTGCATTTGAACACAGAAAAAGTGTTAAATGAAAAACATCCTTGAATTTTTTTAGAATTATAGTAAGAAATTTTAGATACAAAAATATATACTGCAAAGTGAGTACTAATAAGCTTTCAGGAGTGAAATTTATTTACAATGAACATTTCATAAAAAAAAATTCAAAAAAAATTCAAAAGCAATGGTTTGGACAAAAACAGGCACGAAGGGGTAGAGAGAGATCTTTGCACGAATCTGGCGAATCCACAACCATCTGTTGACTCGAGAGAAGCGCTTTTTAGTTTTCTGAGAAAGAAAACTCGAGAGAAGCAGAAGAAGAGTGACATCAGGCCCCTTTCTTTTCTACAATGATCGACTCGCTGGCTTATTTGTAAATGTGCTGGAAAACGGAGCAGTTAGGTTTTAAACTGTAAATCACAAAGTCGAAGTAGATATTCATATGCAATAGGTGTAGAAGGTAGCTGAGATGATGATAAGTTGTTTCAGACCAACCTTGAGGCCAGCTGTTGCCGAAATTGTTGAAGTCGAGAAAATTTGGACCTTCTGTGTCGAATTTCTTGATAAAATTTTTAGGGTGAAGGTTGATGGCGATTTCTTTGGCTCGAGGTATTTAGGTTTTGGGATTTTGATTGAAGTTGACATTGAAATTTTGGACAAAAACGACAAATGGAGAACAAAGGGCTTGTGGGAGAGATATTTCTAGCAGGAGTTCTTCGTAGCAAATCAAGGAGATGAAAATGGTGTTTTGGGTTTGTCGTTGAAGAGCTGGAACATAAATTTTTTTGTTCGATCATGAGTTTTCTTTTTGGATTTAAAATGAAGCGGGAAAGAAGAGGTAGAAGAAGAAGTGTGATCCCATATGATAGCAATGAAATAAAAGAAATCAAGTAGGTGCGGAACAAGCAAAACACTGTGCGTATGAACGGCAAGAGTAAAACGAGTTTTATTATTATTAAATTAAATATATATTTACGGTCCGGTACGGTTCTAAGCCAACATGAAAATCGAAATCAGAAATGGATACGAACGATTTGGTCCGGTTTTTAAACCTAAGTTGATTTTTTTTGTCAACCCGGTTTTCTACGAACTATTTTGTCTCAAATTGATTCGATTTTGTGGTCTCACGGTTTCTATTCCCACCCCTATTTACGGATACAATTCCTTTGTTCAATTTGGTTTAGGTGGGTGGACAAAAACTATGAATAGTAATTGAACCGAGCCACCGGTCCAGCTCAAAAAATAAAATATAAATATCAAATTTACTTCCATCCAAGTCCATCCATCCTTTATAAAACCTGCGGTAGCCCAATAGCCAAGCATACCTGAAGCAACCATATTCTTCTTTTCTCGTCTCAATCGCTACAAGCGTTCGTCTGGTAAGCCTGCAACATTTCTCATCGCCTGTTTGTTTCTTGCATTTCTAGGGTTTGTAATCGAGTTGCCTAATTGTTTGATGTCAGCCGCCACTGCCAGTGTGACTCCGATAGAATTCGTGGAATCAATTTTCGTTAATTTTTTCAGTGCCGTTGATTTAGGGTTTAATTTATATATGCTGCACCAGTTCCTTAATTTTTGTGAAAATGGAAGCTCGATTAATTTATAAATTTTTTATAATTATTTATACCACATTTAATTGCGTGTGATTCTGTAATTTAAATTTATTGGAATGGATGGGGTTATAACAAAGGAAATTGTTTGCACGTCAAGGCACAGTTCATTAAGGTTTTGTTTAGTTATGGGCTATAAATGGTGAAAAGAAAATTTTCGATTCTTTCGAAGGAAAGTTAATGGAGTGTGGTACAAGCTGCTGTCGTTCCCTTGTTTGTGTTAAATATATGAAATCTGGGTGATATGCATTCGAACAGACCTTCGAGACTTAAGGGAGATGGTAATATGTAAAATTCTCGACCACCGGGAGAGGCGGTTATCTGTTACAGGCTCTGCCTTTGACCGAGGCATTTCGCTTCTTTCTTTGTTTGTGTTATATTTCTTTTGGGTGAGGGGATGAGGGCCGTGGGTTGGAATTGGTGTTGATTAGTATTGGAATCGGAAGATGTGCTATTGGGTCCTTTAATAGTTTTGTTTTTCCACTGGGGTGGGGGGAGGGTACAATAGAGATCATCGTATTGTGCGTATGGGAATTTAAATACGGCTTGATAATAGGTTACACATCGGTGAATTTAAGGCTTCTTTAATCAAGTTAAACAATATGACAATTGGGTTTATCAGAAAATTTATCTTGAGTATCATAGTTTACAATTTTTATGTTTTGCATTTCAGAAGTTATAGGATTGAAAATATAGCTTATAGAATAAAAAAGTAAGAGTTTTTTTCTTGATCGATAATACCATTTTTTAGGAAGGATAATCAACTACAATGGCATCAAGGATGGCTGCAAGGTTTGTGCCTCGGAGGTTTTCAAGCAGTGGAAAAGTTCTCGGGGAGGAGGAAAAAGCTGCAGAGAATGTTTACATCAAGGTCATTTTTAAATTCCCTGGATATTTCTCTTATTCTTTTCCTTTGAATTGTTTGGCTGCTTATTTGTCGTGCATTTGCATTAATTTCCTCTTGGACATAGATCAAGTGCTAAGGATCGTTGTTGGATGATGGAAACGTCTTTATTTAGGAGCTGAACTTATTTAAATCACTTGTCTGTCTTGGGATTATGAAATAACAAACTGATTAAGAATCTGAAGAAATACTTGTAGGAATGTATCAGTCAGTATATCGTATACCTAAGTATTAATCATATAGCTGGTAAGCACTTTTTAGAGTTGGATGTAAATGATGCAAGAGCCAAGTTAAAGGAATACTAAATAAGTCGATCTAATTACAAGCACATATGATGAAGAGGCTTTATATATTTTTTTTAATGTAATAAAAAGAAATTTAGACATATATACGATGGTTCATTGTGTTTTAGTCTTTCTATCTGACATGATTAATGTATTAGATTCCACAATTTGATTTTAGAATTTCTCGAGTGTATTGTGGGTCTGTTGAGATTCATGTAACAATGTACCTATGAAAGGGGTTTTTTCGTAAGCAATGAAAAAGAGTTAGTGAAAAAAAGGTCTTCTTTGGCTCGGCTAGTTGCATAATGGATTTCTTTTTTATTCAAAATGGATGAGTTCAGCCTACTCTCAGCTATGAAAGGGGTTTTTTCGTAAGCAATGAAAAAGAGTTAGTGAAAAAAAGGTCTTCTTTGGCTCGGCTAGTTGCATAATGGATTTCTTTTTTATTCAAAATGGATGAGTTCAGCCTACTCTGAGCTTAAATCCTGAACTTTTCTTTTTCCACTACCAAAGGATTTGAATTTTGTTTTCATTAATGTTGTACTTATATCTTGAACTTGTACATCTGCATGTGAACGTCATAGGCCCAACTAAAAGCAACACATGAACTGGGTAGTGGTGACATGTGATGGATCTCAATTCTTAAATCACTGTTCATAGGCTAATCATTTTGGGTTTGGTTTCCATACAATATTGTTAGTTATTCTTGAGATACCTTTATTTCTTTCTTTGTTTTCTTTATTCTAAATCTTGATTATCAAGTTGGTAACCTGGTGTGGGGGGTTTCTTTGTGATGATTAAAAATGTGTCAGTCCGATCGAATTTGATTCTTTCAATTGTGACGACAATGGAGGAGAGAATACTACCCACATTTCCTTTGAGACTGATTCCCATCATTTTTATTTATCTCCATTCCGTTGGCCGTTTCTAAATAAAATTTACATTCATTTTGGGTTTGAAAGCCAACTGCACCAACAGTTTTAAGATCTTGATTTGCTTCTAATTCTCCTTTGACTTTTGGCTGTTTCTAAATAAAATTTACATTCATTTTTACTGTTTCAGATATTTAGATCCGTAGGATCTCATCGTTGTTGTCAGTCCCACACATTTGGAAATTTGTGGTACTCTATTTGTGAAGAAACCTATGTGTATAGATACTTATATATGTTGATATATTATATGATGCGTGAATGATTGCTTTGATTTTGTCTGTTTCCTTATCATATTTGCAATGCTATTCTGGTACATCTTCTCACCGTTATTGTTTGTTTGTTATTTTGCAGAAAGCCGAGCAAGAGAAGCTGGAGAAGCTTGCTCGTAAGGTATGATCAGAATGTTTTACTTTTCATATTCTTTGAGACTTAGGCAATCTTGGATGCTTATCACTTTAGAATGTAAAGCATTCCTTATTTATTTTAGCGAACAGATTTCAGCATTTTGAAAATTGAATTATTTTTTGAAGGCTTTTGTAATTTTCAATGAAGCATTTTAAACTTGAAAAACAAGATAATGCAGCTAGGGGATGATACATTTGTGTGCACATAATTATTCGGCTCTTGTCCCTTCGGAGACAGGCGATAAAACTGAAACTACAGAAATTGCGATTTATATACAATTTGTTGGTTTATCAACTTTTCATTTGCATTGCTGATCACATTTATCATGGTTATCACAAAATTAATTTTGATTTTTACGTTCTGGTTATTATTTTTGGTTCCAGCCTCGGATTTAGTTGGAAAGGTATTGTCAAGTCGATACCACAATTAATATGCTCGATAATCTGAACATTTTCAGGGCCCTACAGCAGAAGAGAAACCAGCTGCAAGTTCAGGGGGTTCAGTCTCTGATGCCAAACCAAGTGCCTCTTCCTCTGGAGCATCAACTGCCAAGGTATCGACAGACAAGTACCGGAATTATGCTGTTGTAGCTGGTGTTATGACTGCTGCTGCTTCTCTGGGTTGGTACCTCAAGGCTAGTGGAAAGAAGGAAGAAGTGCAGGACTGAGATTGATGTAATTTGATATCGACAATTGAAGAATGAGTTGTCATCGCTCGTTCTGGTAGAGCAGAGGAATAATCCAAACTGTGAACCTTCTCTGTATGTGTTCCGGATGTATACTGTGTTCAGTTCCGCAATATTCTCATAACCTTTTCTGTTTCGGGAGATATATTACGTAAATGAAAGGTGTTTAGCACCCAGTTTTCCAGTGCCATTGTGATTGTGTTAGCAGGTTGGAATGTTACAGGGGCACCGCAGGTTCGTTAATTTGTGAATTTTTCGCATGTGATTTTGGATGACTTACATAGCAGGGATACCTTGCCATGGTGACATTTTGTGTCAGTACTATATGTGTAAACTTTTGTCTATGATTTATATCTTTGACACAAGATGTCATGATGATGGGAGTGTACCAGTGCCCTTGTGATTTAAACCATATAAACAGTTTCATCATTGTGTTTGGCACTCGAGCCACCTGTAACATTGGGTCATCCACCTCACGTGAACCAATTTGCAATGATATTATTAAGAAAGTTGATATTTCATCCCAAAATCAATGGATAAACAAAAAGACGCTACAATTCTCTGTAAATTTATGCAATCGAATGGAAATGTAATGGGAACCATATAGCTGTGTTCATTAAAAAAGATCACTACACACATACAAACCTCTTTTTGGCATCCTAGTGGGTTGGGTTGAGTTTTTTTTCGGGTGAACTTTCTATGATATTTAGAAGTATCAGATATTTTAAAATTTTAATATTTTTATATAAAAAACAAAAATTATAATATAACGTTTAAAAATCTAAAGTATCTTATAATGCGTGGAATAAAATGGTAGAACCTTTAGTATTCTAATCATAGATACTAAGAGACCGTTTGATAATTATTTCATTTCACAATTTAGAATAAAAAATACCTAAAGGACCGTTTGATAATGATTTCAGCTTTAATTGTTGTTTTCACCATTGAAAAAACTGAAGACTAAAATCTTTTTTTTTTTTTTTAATTTTAAAGAAGAAAATCTTGTTAAGTATCTACAATAACTTAAAAAAAAAAAAATTAAAAAATTAAAAACGAAATGATAAACGTGGTCGGTCGACGAACCTGAAAGGCTGAAACTCCACACTTTTTCGCAATCGCAGGTCTCTCCTTTCTCCTATGTTCGAACATAATCCTCAGAGAAAAGAAAATGGAGAAGGGCAAGAGGGAGGTGGTGGTCTCAGCTCTGCAGTTCGCTTGCACCGACGACGTCGCCACCAACGTCGCCACCGCGGAAAGGTCTCTCTTTTCATTCCTTCCTCTTCCTCTTCACTCAGTTAATCTTGTTTCCCCCCAATATATTAAAGTTTGCAATTTTTGAACTTGTTATGTGCATTTCTGCAACTAGAGAACCAGACCCACAAAAGCTATGATCTTGTTTTCCTTGTGTGAACAATTCTTGTACTGGTTCGATTTCTGGGTAGCTCTTCTTTTTCCAATATCATTCCATTTTATTGATTTTTTTTATCCACAACATTACTCCAATTGTGTAATTATATATGTGTGTTTGTTTTGCCATTCCTCTCAATGTGGCCAATACTGAAAACCCTTTTATAAGAGTAAAAGTAAATGGTTGCTATGGATTCTATTCGCGTTATGGCGGATGTCTCTTGATTTCAACTAGACACTGCTTTACTCAGGTTCAGTTTGCTTGCTCTGGCCAATAGGCGTTTCGTCGTATTAATCGTTCAACTTTGATCCAATGAATTGGATCATGATGTGTGGCCCATCAATTACTTAAGTGTATGCTTTCGAAGATTCGTATGTGTATGTGAATCAAAATCTAATGGTTGATATGAAGTGTTTCATTCGCTTACATGATCCAAGCTTTTGTCCTATTAACAGTTGGATTTTGATCCATTGACTGAGAGCATGATATGTATCTCATTAGATTACTTAAAGAGTATGCATTTGAGCATTCTAGTGCAGCTGTGCAGGGCTTCGAAAGAGGAAGCCCTTCTTTTAAGAAAAGAAAGAACTACATTGCTCGGTTCCATAATTGAAACTGCCTATCTTTAGGTCCTCTTCAAGTATCATCCCTTCAAAAAATCAACTAAATTAATTTTTTTAGTTTTCATTTGGACACATGCACAAACACACAAGTTTGTGTCAAGAGTTTCACATGATTTGCTGATCTACAACTAATTTCGTCCCAGCTTCATTAGAATTTTTTTGTATCCGAAGCATATCATGCGATGTTGGGTATTGGATGATGTTTTTTTCCGAAACTTGAGCCATTTTAATTTGAGATTAAACGAGCATACATTTTTTCCCCTAAAATATATGGATTTGGTTCTTGATTGGGGCTAATTTAAACTAAAGAGTTGAGGTCTTGAGGCTGTTGCCTCAACAGGGTCCTCTCCAGGTCAGCCTTGACCTAAAGTTATGTTTGCTCTTCCCCATGCTCCAACTTTTTCTCTAAAGCAATTATCTCGTGAGTTGAATTTATAATCCTTTCCATTCAGGTTGGTTAGAGCTGCCCATGCGAAGGGTGCAAACATCATTCTTATACAGGTATGACATTTCAAATTTGAAAGATGTTTCTTTTGTTTTTCTAAGTTTTGAACTCTTTTGTTCTTCCCTTTCTTTTCTTTGCCATGCTTATAGTGATACATCCTCAAGGGTATTAATAGATAATTAAAATGAGAAGTATATATGCAGAGCTTAACCTAAGCATAAAAGGTGCAGAGTAAGAGGCAATGCATTCAACCTAAGATAGTAAATACTTTGATCAATTCTTTGACAAAACCTTTGGACAACAATCAAATAATTTCTGTAATGGCTTCACCGTTGATTTTTTCCATGACAGAAAAGACGGTCACAGTGTGACATGTTGTACTTGTTGCATGATATGTATATATCTACTTATAGTCTGTATTGTGTATTGTAATTTGTAAGTAGTGTCGTACTTGTTGCATGATATGTTTGGATCTACTTATAGTCTGTATTGTGTACTGTAAGTAAGATTTAGATGTATTACATGTTCATACGGGTGTTGTGTATAAATCTTGTCAACATGTGTCATTACTTCGTAAAGGGTGTTCGTGTACCTCATGTTTCCTCCCATAATATCCTCAGAGGGACTAGCGACTAGGCATGTATTCTGCCATTTCAGCTCTAATAATAATCACATGTTCATGAATTTATTGATGTGTTCATTTTAAGATTATTAGAGAGACATGCAGCATTTATATGAGTTCAATGTTCAGCATTTATGTGAGTTCAATGTTTCTGATTAATTCTTTCCACCTAATGGTAGAAAAAGCTTGGTTAACGTCACTGATATTCAATTACAATCAGTATGAAACAAAGTTTATAATTAAACTTTCGTGCTTCCATCCAGTAATGGGTGTTTCTTCTGGTCATTGATACAATGAAGTTCCAAGCACTGCTCCACACAGTGCTTGCAACTATTATGCGCATGTATTTGTTGTGGCCTTTTAGCACCTTGTTTTGGGCAATGATAGACTCCCGTTAATATATAGTTATGGTAAAACCGAGGCATATGTGTTTTTGGGGTGGGGGTTTAAATGACGCAGATAAATATGCTTTGATGAGAAATTTTTCCATAAACTTATGATTGAATGCACATTTTTTAAGCATTTTCTGAATGATTTTTTCAGGAACTTTTTGAGGGACATTACTTCTGTCAGGCACAAAGGGAGGACTTCTTTCAGCGAGCAAAGCCTTACAAGGATCATCCAACTATTCTTAGGTGAGAGTGCTGCAATGTAGCTTTACAACATATCAGGAGAACCTTTAAAAAAATGTAGAAAAAGAGGTTAAGAAAAGCTTCTTAATTGAACTTGCGCACACCTTTTGGGCAGTAATACTTAATTAGATATTTTAATTGCATGCTATGTAGGATGCAAATACTTGCAAAAGAGTTGGGTGTGGTAATACCAGTTAGCTTTTTCGAAGAGGCAAATAATGCTCATTACAATTCAGTTGCCATTATAGATGCTGATGGGGCAGATCTTGGACTTTATAGGAAGTCCCACATCCCAGACGGACCTGGTATTCAAGTAGCATAATGTTCTTCTTGTTTGATTTCACCTGTTACCTTTAATAACAGCCGCTACTTTTCTGCTGCAGGCTACCAGGAAAAGTTCTACTTCAATCCAGGTGACACTGGATTCAAGGTTGGTACTTAATACAAATACAATCTATGCATAATGCTATTTAGCTTGCGTTTATTTTGGTGGTGATTAATGATGCAATGTTGTTGTTAAGCAGGTTTTCAAGACCAAGTTCGCAACCATTGGAGTTGGTGAGAAAACTTTAATTAGATGCTTCTTTAATTTCATGATTTTTCTACAATATTCTCTGGGCTTTATTTGAACTCTGCAATCTTTCTGTACTGCATAATAAATTCACATGGAGCCTTGTATTTGTTGTGTATTGACAAATGGAATATTTAGTGTGAAGACTAAAAACTAAATCTGCTAGTACTTCATTTTGCGTCAGCAATTTGCTGGGATCAGTGGTTCCCTGAGGCTGCCCGGTGTTTGGTTCTTCAAGGTGCAGAGATATTGTTCTACCCAACTGCTATTGGTTCCGAACCTCAAGATGGAGGACTTGATTCTCGGGATCACTGGAGGCGAGTGATGCAAGGGCATGCTGGGGCTAATGTGGTACGTGTTTTCAGCATAGTTTGGATACTTTTTTTTTGTTCCTTTCTTTTCTCTCTTTTTGATACTAAGGAGGGCCGAGGAGCAGACTACAATTTGACTTAGAAAGTATTGTAGTTGGTTTGAGGTTAGTTTGTCTGTCATTGTTCATTTAAGTGGCTCATATATGGAGCGAAGTGTTTTTTCGTCCTCTAATCTCTATTTTCTAAAAGTCGCGACTGCCTTGAATCAATATTCGCCACCCAAAAGATGCAACAAATAAATGGGGACAAATTGAAAGCTCTTTCATACTGAATTATTGTCAAAGAATGTAATCTAAATCCTGTTTTGATGAATTACAGGTCCCTGTAGTAACTTCAAATCGTATAGGAAAGGAGATAATCGAGACCGAGCACGGAAAGAGTGAGATCACTTTCTATGGTAACTCTTTCATAGCAGGTATTTTTCTCAGGTTTTCTTTTAACTTAAGAGTTGAAAGTTGAAACTACCTCCAATATAATCAGTCTTTTTCTTGATTGATTTGGATTGTTAAAAAGTTGTTGGATTTGCATAATTCAATGTCCAGGACCCACTGGAGAAATTGTTGCAACTGCTAATGATAAAGAGGAAGCTGTACTAGTAGCACAATTTGACCTAGACAAAATCAAATGGAAGAGACATAGCTGGGGAGTATTCCGTGATCGCCGCCCAGATTTATACAAGGTGCTACTGACATCAGATGGCAGCAATTCCCCGTTGTGATGATTCGTTTTGATACCATGCTTGCTCTAGAATTAATAAAGGAAGTACTTCCTAAGTACAGTGCGGCTGCGGTGATTTCAAGAGTCCCCAATGGAAGGATTGGAGGATTTACGATTTACTTTAGAGGAAGTATTATTGGCAGGTGAAGTATATATCTCTGCTTGGGCAAATTTGGATTTAATGAATAATGGATTTAGTGGATTATGCATTGTGTTTCCTATGTTCATATTCTGTGCTTGTTAATGGCATTCAACCATTGGAGGTCCAGTTTGTTGTAACGTCGGTATTTTTCAGAAATATCGGTGTTTGAATACGCCATAATCCATGTCAGCCGCCAAGCCACTGCTCGATGTGCCCTCATACGATCACCCAACAAGCCACTGCTCGACGTGCCCTCGTACGATCACCCGACTGTTGTGGCGAATTTCCGATGTTGGCTCGTAGATGGTCAGGATAGCAGGTCCAATTTACCCACACTCGCACAATGCAAGTAAGAACCCAAAGCTTCCTCATCAATATATGAACTAGAGGGGAGCTCTGAGTAATGGACCGTCAACTCATTTCGACGGATAAAGTTTTTTCTTTTTCTCAACCCAAAAGCTTTTTCTTTTTCTTTTTAATCAAAGGATGAATGAATTAGGTGAGTTGAACTACGCATAAAGTTTGGTCATCAAACTATAATAGTAGCCTTATTCTCCAAACCCACACGAGGCGGTTGGAAAAAACCAAGACCCCGAAATTAACCATCTACTACACATTAGCATTCAACCCGAAAGCTTCCTATAATGCATGACCAGGCCAAGTTCCTTGATGGCTTGATCTTGCCCTTTCCTTTGTTTCCCTTTCATTAAGTGTCAATTTTTATTTTTTTTTAATTTTTTTATTTTTTCTATATATTTTTCATCAGAATTTGTATTAGATTCTAGTCGTTTACGTTTTATATAAAGAATTTTACGCTTACTCTTTACCAATGCGATGCTTAATCCAGTATCTCTAAAAAAAGTGTAGAGGTCGAATGAGGACAACGTGGCGTCCAAATCATATACTCCTTTGAGAAGCATTACGAAGTGTAGAGGTTGAATGAACACCAAGACAAAAATTCTCGATTTCAATTGGTAGCTTTCTGGAAATCACGTACCATTGGAATGAGATTGTAGCTATAGCAATTAGCAACCCTAGTTTATGAAAGTGTATCATGCGGCAAATTTCACTTTTTTCCCGTATGTGTTTGAGACTTAATTTCCTCTATTATATATACCAAATTTTGCAGCAAAACTCGATTGCTGCTTTCAATTTGTTGCCCAGGTATGTTTTACACATGGTTCTTAAAAAGACTAAGTGCTAGTCGGGTGACGGGCTGGGGCTTAATGTCTAGGCGGGATCTAGGCAGGGGCCAAGAAGGACTAGGTGGATTTAAGTAAAATCTATTATATATCATATAAATAAGTGTTTATATATATACACACACACACACACACACACACACATACATACATACATACTTAAAAGATGCATAATTGCATTGGGATACATAAATTGCAAAATATAATGACATATGGATTATAAAGTATTAGAACATAACAAAAACATAGGGGACAAGCATGTAGTGTGTGTTAATCTAAGTATTTAACAAGTCCCTTACAATTTATAAAAAAAAATTAAATGCATAATAAAAGTTATCTATTTTCTGTCTAAATGAGAGTTGTGACCTAGTCATAGTGCCTAGGTTAGTTTGGGCGGGCTAGGCAGACATCTAGGCGCTCTAGGCGGGTGCCTAAGCACCCTTTCTTTATTTTCAAACGCCTAGAGATTAACCGGAGATGTGACCAGCCGCCTAGCACCTAGGCGGGGCTTAGGCGGCGCTAGGCGGAGATTTTTTGAACAATGGTTTTACATCTCTAGGTACATTGTTTTTCAATTGTAATTTCATTACATTGTTTATATTTAGTTTCATTGTTTGGAGGTGCAGTAAGTAGCAAAGTTGCGAGTTAGATCCTGAACAACAATGGCTGCTGCATTTTTGGTTGTTTATGACTCAAAAAAAGTTTTTAAGCGTATTCAGACATCGACCCTCCTGTATCTTAAATATAACATATGAGCTTCCACCCAAGATCATTGCCAGTATGGCTGAAAGATAGGGACAGACATAAGTGCAAATTTTTGGCGTTCGTCCTTCCAAATTTTCCTTCGACATCCTTCCAACATTAGAGAATACTGTCTTTTATTCTGAAATGAGAATCTTTGGCATTCGTCCGTTGGTATAGGTTGATCCTTTTGGGTCCTTCACGTAACCCAGTCAATTCGCCAATATCATCACTAGTGATTGTTGCAACTATCTGTCCGAAAATAAATTCCCCTCTGCGGCTCCGCTGGTGTTGAAACACTTAAATATACAACTCACATACTTGTCAGACTTGCAATATGCTGTTTGAACACCTTCACCTGAACGATTAGGGTTTCTGACTTATTTGCGCCATCATTAGCCTGTAAAAACCACTGTTTCCAAAATTCCACAAATGCAAGAAGAAGAAGAAACTAGTTAGCTAGTAAACCTTTTTGTCCAATGAGCCTGCTGTCTTACCAGGATTATAGAACATTATAAGCATTAGCTTCATTACTGTTTTATTACCACACCACATTATTAGGTTTTTGTAAACCTACATGGTTGTTCCAATGAACAACGCCTCCTCCCCCGGGCGTGCTTGCGCGCACTCATCGGATTTATGAACTTTAGCACCAGCTTCATTCAAGCTGTATTTCCTGATAGTGTTTTGTTTCCTTGTAATTAATCATAAGGAACATGTGGGGTTACATGACTAAATGCATATGTACATACATGGTAAAGATAATGATAGCACGTTCAATTGCCCACACCTAAGATGCTCCTACTCGAGAGAAGAAAATCAAATCAGCTGTATGCATGTTGGGAGAAGCAAAGAATCTATCAAATGTGTCTGAGAAAGTTGTATATGTATCACATCTACCACCAATTTCACGTGGAATATGATAATAAAGCTGAGAGCCAAAAAAAAAAAAAAAAAGGTGAGATTATATTTTGGCCTTTGCTTGTATGAGAATGCGTTGAGAATAAATCTCTCATTGATGGAAGAACAGATCTTGCATGGACTTATAAGTAAGTTGGGGTACTCCTCATATTGCCAATTGGTTTAATGGTGTAACTTTAACTTTCTTTATAATGAGATTCTTGTTGTAAACATTCCTAGTTTAAGTGTAATTGTGTAAATCCTAGATTAGATTTGATTCTAGTTATCCTTTCCTATTGTATCTTGTATTCCTTGGGGATGAAGGAATATCTTCTCTCATTTTATTACTATAAATAAAAGAACAATGTAGGAGGGATAACAGCACACATTCCCTTACAATTCTACAAACACATTTCTCTCACTCTCTCTTCTCCTTGCCACCGGCCACTCTAACCTTGTCAGATAAAATAGACCACAACACGCTCCTACCGTTGTGCTTAGGAATCTGAGGTTGAAGAAATTTTTCTGCATCAAACTAGTTCATCCATATCATCACGCAATCAGGTTCTTTCAAAACAACGGTTTTTATCTTGATATTTTTGCAATCCTGATAGCATGAACATTCATCATGATGCATGACCCAACTTTACGTTTTATGAATTTTAGATTCTACATAAATTGTGTGTGCATCATAATCATAATTGTTGAATTATGTGAATTTGATTTTTGCTATGAATTGCATCAAATATATGTACATGTACATGCATTGAAATTATGAATTGCATATGCATCAAATCAAATTATATAAGAATTGAATTAATAAAAAAAAAAAAAAAAAGAGAAGATTTTGTGATTGGGAACCTAGGGCTCTAGGATTTGAGGGCTCTAGGATTGAAAACCCAGCAACCTCGACGTCTTTCATGGCGTCTTCCCCCGTCGCATAAAGGCCTGCAGCCTGCAGCCTATCCTTACACCTCGGGTCACCATGTATGATAGCCTAAAGCTCATCACCGACACTAATTGACCGAAATTCTTGAATCTCATCAGAATTTCTCTAAAATTCCGATTCGAATTTCTAGGGTTTTGATAGAACGTCAACCTTGTTAATCTCCATTCATATTTGAAATCTTCATTGACCCATGGACTTGCCCCGAGCCTTATAGTCCTAAAGCAAGGTCGCCTGAAGAGTGGCACTGGCTTTCTTCCCCGGCGAACGCACCTAGCTACGACTGGGGTGTCTTTGGACTCCACCCGAGCCCTGTTGGGCTCTGTTACTGGTCCTGTGGAAAAAAAAAGGAAAAAAGAAGAAGTTTCTTTGATTGGGCTTGCCTGAAGCAGCCTAATACTCAAGCTCAGCCCAATTGGTCCCCCCCAACTTGTGATAGAAAAAAAACAAAAACAAAAATTTGTTTAGGCCTGCCTAAAGTGGGCCTAGTGCAATTTTTTTTAGGGGCTAGCTTTTAGTGACCCAATATTTTTCCTCCCTGTGGGCCTGCAGTCCCACTCGAGACCCCTAGCCCAATTTTGGGGCATAGGACACATGGACCAATTTTTTTTAGCCACCCGTGGCTTACTTTTTCTTTTTGGGCCCTGAGTTTTATTTGCCTAATTATTTTAGCCCCAAATGGGTTTTATATTTTTTCACCCACACTTTAATTTGCCCCGAAGTCCAAATAATTAAATTCAATTATAATTATAGACCTAAAAATCCTATTTTTTGCATATTCTTGTTGCATTTTTCTGTGTATATATTTGTGTTTGCCTGCAGGAATATATGAACCTGAAGTTCATAATTATTTTGAAACCTGAAGTTTCTTATAAATATATCTTGTTTGAAAACCTGAAGTTTTCATTTAAAAACATCACCCATGAAAACCCGAAGTTTTTTTCATGCAAAATTAGGCCAATACATGTCTATTAGAACCTGTATGTTCTACTCTTACGTGAATGGATTGATTTTTCTCCTTTATTCTAACCACATCTTGTCCATCTATTTTGTGATAGGAACATGTCGAATTTGAACAAACTCGACTTCACTGCTTTAGAGGTCTCTGGAAGGAACTACCTCAAGTGGGTCCAAGATGTGAAGCTCTACCTCATTGCAAAGAACTTGCGTCCTACTATTGAAGAAGAGATGGACAACCCTATTGGTGAAGCTGAAAAAACCACTGCTATGATCTTCATTTGAAGACATATCCATGACGCCTTGCAAACTGAGTATATTGTTGAGGAGGATCCACGTGCATTATAGGTCTCTTTAGCTGATCGTTTTGATCACTAAAAGGACATATTCTTGCTTGAAGAAAGATATGATTGGCAGCATTTGTGCTTTCGAGACTTTAAGTCTTTGAATGAATATAATTCTGAAGTTTATCGAATCCGATCACTTCTCAAGTTTTGCAATGAAACTTTAATCGAAGAGGATCTCCTGGAGAAGACTTATTCGACCTTCTCTACTTTTAATATTGTCGTGTAGCAACAATATAGAGCTCAGAAGTTCACTAAGTTCTTGAATTTGATCTCTATTTACTTTTCGCTAAAAAGCAGAACCAGCTGTTGATGAAGAATTATC